CTCTGTTCCGTCTTCAAGCAAAATTTTTTTTGGAATAACTTATTTCTGAAATTTACGTGTTTTAATAGCATATTCATTATTGAAATCAAAATTTCTATGGTAACGGCTAAAGCAATTGTTTAAATAAAAAGGGTGTAAGGTGTTAATAATTTGTATCAGTATAAATTTACATTCACAGATGTCAACTCAGGATAAGGCTGGAGTGTCTAAATTTAAAGCGGTAGATGATTTCGCCTAGTCTGGTTTACGTGTCTATGGAGATTTATTTAGTTTTTTATTTAGTTTTTTCTGAAAGGGTTTTGTGTATATAAAAACTGCCGTAACATTTGTTTTTTGACGACTTCATAAAGGATTATCTTTTTTTGTAGGACATTTAAACTATTTATTAGGTTTATGGATTTTAAAATGTTTGTTTGTTTTTATGCTAATTATCCAATGCAAAAATTTGATGATGTCGGCAAAAAACAGTTAACTCATGTCTATTGTTTAATAGATTTTATTATTTAAAACTTAATAATGTGTAGTTTGTCATGTATATATATATATATATATATATATATATATATATATATATATATATATATATATCGATGCAGAATTTATGAACTATGGATGTATAAACCGATAAATCTATTCCTAAAAGTTCATGTATTTTAAGAGTTATCCCCACTTGCGGGAAAAACCTTCAAAACACTAATAAAAATTGTTGTTTGCTCCCCCATAGTTAAGTATGAACATGTTCTGGGTTCAATCCGCAGCCAATAAATCGATTAACACATCAGAAAAACAAGACCCCGTGGTTAGAAGGTGCTTGTATACAACGTTTTTTTGTTTTTTTGTTTTTTAAGTAAGTAATATTTGTTTCAAATCAGATTAACTTACCTTTATATTTACTAATTTTCCTCAAATAATGTTTCATAATTATATATATATGATTTTTCAGGGAAATGTTTTCTTTTTTAAAAATTCATTTTAAACGTTACGTCTACCGAATTCGTGGAGGTACATAATGTAGAATCACAGCTACGTTGTATTGCTTCTCATATGTGAAGGAATTCTTCAGCATTCACTTCAATGGTGATGGATTGTGGTACAGCGCGTTTATCTTTGTTTGTAAAGAACCTTTTTTCTATTTCTTAATAATTTGTTTAGCTTTTGCAAGGTTTGTTATTCCAATGCCACTTTATATTCACCCTTGTGGGAAAAATACTTTGTGTTTAGTGGGTATTTTGCTGAATTCTTTACAAATTTATTGTACCTAGACATTCTCTTACTGTATACTGCAACGCTAAAAAACGAAAAAATGGTTTATCTGGTTGAAGCATTGGAACTGAAAAGACAATTTATTTTAATAAAGACTGATTTTGCAGCAATAGAACTCAGAAATATTTTAAGAAAGTTACAAAAAATGGCCTTCCTTTCGTTATGTCATCTCTAGACCTGCCACATCCGGGTTACTACTTGTTTTGCCACGACGTATTTATTTTAGGTATTTATTGCAACAATTTAATGATATCGAAAATTTCCTCGAAGTCGTTATCGAATCAAAACGGGATCTTTTTTTCTTTTACGAAATACCCATTTTAGTTAAAAGGTGGCGAAACATTATAGAAATTCAGAATAACGAAATCCGCTAATTGACAAATAAATAGTAATGGTAATATTAGCAGTTTTCTTGTGAGCAAAACACTCGCTATTCATCCACTGAGCAGCTATAGCCACTGTCGGTTGAAATGTATACAATATTTTTATTAAAAGAATTCTTTCAGGAAAATAGGTTTCTCATGTCCAACATTATTGCTGTTTCCGGTATTAATGGCAGCTTCTTTCCTAAGTTTCATTCTCTGAAATAGTGTAGAACGTCAATATCTTGACTATGGCATTATTTTGTCTTCGATTTACATCTGCTGTCTGTTTTACTTGTGTTGTTGAGAGATTATACATGGTTAATGGTCTGAGTTGAAACCTTATAACAACCACAATAATATTTGCAACCTCTTCCAACAGGAAAAATTAACAATAATGACATTTCCGGATCCAAAGAACCTTTTGAACTAGAAATCCGAATTCATGAGTCCTTGCATACCTACTAAAACATTTCTCTTAAGCTCATAAATGCTAGATAAAAAAAATGTATGTACATTTCAATTAACTCCCCACCAATACATTTATAATACCTTTGCTTTCTTCTTCTTCTTCTTCTTCTTCTTCTTATTATTATTATTATTATTATTATTATTAAAATCACTTAAGCATACTGTAAATTTGAAACCAAGGTAGCAGATTTAGCGGGGATCAAAATTTATTAATTAAAAAAATACAAAAGTATCACAACGATTAAAATTTAGACACCTTTCGACCGACATCTTCAGAAAAAGATATCGTCAACAAATAAAATAAAAAAAATAAAAATTATATTCAACGACTGTGTTTAAAATCATACCAAAACAAGAGGCGGGAAACGAGGAAAAAGTATAAAATTAGCGACATATAACACGAAAAGGGCTAACTTGTGTTTTAATTCTCTCTGCCTACACAGGGCTGGACGTTGTATATCAATAACAACGGACTCTAAGATGACGAAGTGGAGTCTAGTCCGTACTCTGTGTAAGACAGAGAAGAACTTAGGAGAATAGTCTGTCCTGCAAGCAACAAAATTCAATAAATGCTCGCCGATAGCCGAGTTATGAGCCTGTGAACACCCGGATATTACAGGCTCATGTCTATGTGCCTGGCTCAGAACATGCTGAGCGATCCTAACCTCTAAACGCTGGATAGTTTTGCTCTCATAGTCGGTCTCACATCGGCATTTGTATTGGTAAATAACTAGGCTCTGTTGATGGGCAGGCAAGATATCCTTGCGGTCAGAGCCTTCCGATAGAACGACATATATGCGAAAATTGCTACCCATTTCCGACACTGAGTACTTTGAGTCGTTTTATATTGGATGTGTTATTTTCGTGAAGTCTTCACCTGAATAACGCGTCCAATTTTCCTAAACATTTGCAATAACATACCTGTCCACACTCGCAATTCCGAAAAATACTCTTCAAAAATACTCCCGTCTTTTTCCACGAAAAGAATAAACAGAAACCAAATATTCTCGAAGTTATTTATATTTAAAAAAAATGAAACCAAACCTCAATAAAAGTTGATTACGAATACTCCACAAACGTTTTAAAATGTGTACAATGTATAGTCTTTAAATCTCAGCGCTTGTCATTAATAGTTGTTCCTTTATCTAGCAACTACTCAAGTCCGGATTTTTCCCACAGCATACCTAGTTACCACTCCTTAAACGGTGCCCGGCACCCAAGCCATAACACAGCGTTCCTGACTCTACATATAGAAATGGCAATTTTCAGATGACCACAAAAATTTTTGTCCTTCACAGCCATGAACACTAAATACTTACTTTATAATTAACAATGCCCTGAAGATGACATTATGTTATGTCGAAAGTAATTGGAAATAAATACAATATGAACCAACACGGTGTTTTCCTCCTGTCTTTTAATAACCGCACAAAAAAATCTTATCCGCGAATATGAAATGATCCTATCGAGAATAAGTATAAAGAACATGTCTGAATTATTTAACTAAACCTGTCTTAATATATATATATATATATATATTACTTTTTATCTAAAAAATTATTATTTAACTGTAATTTTTCCCGATTCCGCTGTTTCGTGGTAATATGTCTACTTTTCAAAGGCTTAATCCCTATATTATTCTCGTGTGTGTGTTTGTGTGTGTGTGTAAACGCTGAGTTTAACAGAAAATTAAAACCAAGATAACTAAATAGGAATTATGATCTATATGACCTGGAAATAAATAAGTACACTATTTCTCTTTAATTTAACGTTCCAGGCCATTATTAAGGATGGCATTTCAAACATTTCAAACATTTCACTCACCAAGACAGACGAGGCGAAATACAATACTCTTGACAAAACTTTTCAAACATAGTAAAACTTTGTCACTTTTTTCTTTGTCTTACACTTAGTACAAAGCAAATAATGTTTTAATTTTCCTTGAGCAACAATTCATACCAATTACCCTGGGAGACCATCACCAATCTACACGTGACGTATTCCGCCATTCTGCGACTGGGTACAAGAATTAAATAAACGAAACGGACATATAAGATAATTCTTGCCTAAGGTCGAAACAGCTGAGTCTGTATTTTCTTTTCCCATTTACAGTTCTAGCAAATATAGGAAAACTGAAAGAACATCGTAGACAAAATGTTAAAACAATTAAAATAAGTATTCCTAGCATAGAGTGTTTGAAATGTAGTTCTACAAAAGGACACTGAAATTCCATGGACGTGAAGAATAAGCAACAATGAAGTCTCAAAGAAAATTGTATAAGAAAAACTTATATTCAAAATCAGGAAAAGAAAGCTGAAATTCCCTGGACATATAATGAGGAAGGAGGGCTTGGAAAACTTAATCCTCACATGGACAAGAGAGCCAAGGGAAGACAGCGAGCCACATACCTGAGGTTGTGATGGCGGAACGGGTGGCGGGGGCATTCAGTTCAGTTATGCGCCACGCGTGATACACACGTAGGCGATCATGTATCTTTCGATACATGACTGACGAGGCAGAGTTTTCCCGCAGTAGGTTGCTATTTCTTTTTGTGGTAGATTAGTTTCCATCCAAGGCTATAGAACCCGGTCTGTCCTGCTATTTACCCATAGCTGGCGGGGAGAAAAAGAGGATTCACACCTTTCCCAAGCGTATTAGCACATAATTGAATGTAATGGATTCGACTGGAATACAATTCGGCTCGCCGATTCCTCATTCCGAGCCGCTATGCATTACTCCACCGGGAGCATTATCAAAGAGAAAAAAACAGGTGAGAACCACATGCGATAGAAAGTTGTGGAGAGCCATGTTTGCCGATGTCCTGAATGGACTCAAACCATCGAAGGATGAGTCCGATTTTTATTTAATGCTCTTGACTGGTGGACCTTTTGCTAAAGTTAAGCTTACGGCTTTATCACGTTGAACACCGGTTCTCGTAAAATCATCAAAGTTAAGCAACTTTGAGCTTGCTCAGTACCTAGATGGGTGACCACTTGGGAATACCAGATGCTGTAAGCTTGGATGTGCAGGTGGAGTAATGGATAATGGTTCGGAACTTGAAATAGGAGAGCCAAGTTCCAATTCCAGTCGGGTTTATTATATCCACTTACGTGCAAATAGCCTTCGGAATCCACCAGCTATGGATTAATAAGTAAGACTTATATCATTAAATCATGGATAATGAGTCGGAATTGGAAAACAGAGATCTCAGATCCAATTAAAATCAGGTTCCTTATATTCACTTACATCCCATGCCATCGAGAAAGGTATGAATCCACTAATTATCCTCAAAGCAATGGATTAATTAGTAGCACTTGTATCAGTAAAACTCATTATCTCTTAATTTTACATACTAAAAATATTTTCTGGCTTTAATTAACCTGCAAATTGTTGATAACCCGTACAAAAATAACAAATTAACAAACATATCTAAGCTGTGTAAATAAATGAGGATACTAGTCTGAAGAATTGGTGAACAGTCTTGGCTATAGAAAATACTAATTTATATTGAAATTAATTTTAATACATTTGATGCATTAAAGTAGGCAATGCCTTTTATTTTAGGCTGTTGAAATTTTTGTTCGCTTTTCTTAAAAAAGAACTCTTTTGGCTATGACTGTACAGGTAACAATTAGTACATTACCTGGATATCATTCGCTCACCGTCTTTTTGTCGTCATCTCAAGCAAGGTAACAAAGACATTAAGGCACAGGGGAATTTATGAAAGTGAAATAATATAAGAAAAATAAAAAGATTATTAAACAGCGAGAACACTAAATGGACAGAATTAAGAAGATAAAAATTGAAATTGCATTTAAATTCTTGACTATAAAAATTGACTGGAAAGCAAAAAGCCAGAGGAGAGTTCCACGCGCGAGAAGTGCAACAGAAGAAACTGTTAGCATAGAACTTACAGTTCAGCTGTAGTTCTTGCCACCAATCTAGTGCTGCGCTGAAATTCATAGATTCTAGCTATCATAGAGGAATGTTCATCAGAAACAATTACCATGAATGTACTTATAAAAAAAAGCACAACGAAACTACATGGCGGAAAGTGACTGACGCCGAGATGCCAGGTTACGACCAATGACATTGTAGGTTCTTTTTTGAATTTTATCAAGAATCTCTAAGGGGGACTATAATAGATGTGGTAGCAATATTCAAATAGTAGAATAACGGTAGACATATAAATATGTAAGATAGATTCGTGCGAGAAAAATTGTCTGGCACGATACAGTGATCTAACTTTCATGTTAGCAAACCTAAAAATTGATTTAATATAATCTTTCCACTTCATTTCAAGGGAAAACGTTAAACCGAGAAGGCGTGATGAGTCAGCCTCATATATATACATACACACACACACACACACACACACACACATATATATATATATATATATATATATATATATATATATATATATATATATATATATATATATATATATATATATATTACTTTGTATCTATAAAATTAATTATTTAACTGTAATGTTTCCCGATTACGCAGTTTCGTGGTAATATGTCCACTTTTCAAAGGCTTAATCTCTATATTATCCTTGTGTGTGTTTGTGTATGTGTAAACGCTGAGTTTAACAGAAACATTTAAATTAAGATAACTAAATAGGAATTCTGATCTATATGACCTGGAAATAAATAAGTACATTATTTCTCTTTAATTTAACGTTCCAGGCTATTATTAAGGATGGCATTTCAAACATTTCACTCACCAAGACAGACGAGGCGAAATACAATACTCTTGACAAAACTTTTCAAACATAGTAAAACTTGGAGGTTAGCATCAGTTATACTGATCGAAGACAGAAAAGTTTCTCTCAAGCGATTAATGGAGAGCAATTTAGTATTAGAGATGTGAAAATTAGCCATTAGTGTGATTTTGATTTAATCTCTCCCCATATTTATAGTTAGGAAATAAATGAAACTAAAAAATAATAATAAACTGTTGATACGATAGTTCTTTGCTCGTCATTTTTGGGATAATTCTTTTAAAAAGAGAGAGAGAGAGAGAGAGAGAGAAAAGAAGATAAGAATCAATTAAACTTAACTAGTCCTAGTTTTTGTTTTGAATATCGTTGTAACTGAATATCTGTCGTGCATTTGTTTCCATTCTTTATTTCTTCATTTATTTCTGTTTCTTTACTTATTGTATATAGTTGCCGTTATGTCTCTTGTATGTCATTGTTACTCTGTTGTTCTGTCCAGTTGGTGAGAAATACCAGACTCATCCTACTAGGAAGAACAAGAAGTCTGGCCAAGATGTAACGGATAGACAAGAAGCAGACCCCAGGCCAGAGAGGGGACAGCAGCAACTTGGCGAGCAAGATGAGGAGGAGGAGGGGAAGATGTAAATATATTTCCTTGTATTTCTGTCAAGCGTTATCCACGTTGGAGGTAATTATGACCAAGACAAATTTGTCTCTTTCTTTGCTTTTTCCCTGTTTTTCATGACAAATATAAGAAAAAGAATCCTCACTCGGGAGAAGCGTGAGAATA